TATTCATACAAAAAGTATTTGGTTTGCTTAATTCTTTTAAAAGACAAAAGTCGTGGTTGTGCATAGAACTACTGAAGGGAATCCATTGATTAGTGTAATGTGTAAAATATTATTTTATACAACAGTAAAGAACACTGGTATCTGAACATGCCTTTTGTGGTAGACTGCTATGCCTTCTGTCTCCAAGTGTTTGGAAATATTGTCATTCCAAACTCTTGTTACATGAATGTATGCTTTATTTTCCTCTGGGAAACCTTTGTTTAGGATCATTTAATCAAGAGCAGACATTAAACACAACTAGCGATGTTCATCTCTGTTGAATAAATCAAGGAAGAGGTTCCAGTTTAAGTGTAGGACACGGTATACTAGGATTTTTATTCAAATACTTAAGGATTCCAGCCCGAATCTATTCCCATTAAATTCTATGAGAGTTCTGCCGTTGACTTCAATCAGAGCCGGATCGAACCCTTCAACTCTTTACTAAAAGCTGTTGTGGAAAAAGAAGAAGACGAAGCAGAAACATTTAGCACTTCGATATTGTAATTTTTTGTCGGTCTTATAATATTACAGACCCCAAGAAGCCAATAATCATACTCTTCAAATATTTTTGGATCACATTTACTAAGGTATTTATCAGATATAATAACGTACTCCATGCATTCATTATTCCTAATAAAATCCTATGTATTGTTTCTTAAGATTGCCAGCAAATGTAAATGCTAATAGCTAACTAACACGATTTCTTGGAAGAATGTCATCTGAGCCTTGGAAAATATTAGGTCTGTCTTGGGAGAACTTTTGGAGAAGAGATTTTTGCTTTGCTAATTTAGTAGCTCCATAATTACTATAATAATTTGAAATTTGGTGTAGAATTACAGTCTATAGAAAATAATGCAATAATAGCTTACTGGGCTGTTTATTTCCCTCTCATAAATTTGGAGGGCTCATTGATAAAATGTATAAACAAATTGAAAGTTAATTTTTTCAGATAGCTATCTCCAGCTTTAATTCGGTTGCCTGATGTTTTCTTAGCTCTGATATTCACATCATTCCAAAAAATACAGTGGGGGCATAGAATACTTGTATTTTATGTTAAAACTCGTTCTTTAACCATTTTGATCCATAATCAATAATCATGTTATCAACTACAATAAAATTGATCCGAATGTCTTGATTGGATTTAACCCACCCCCCCTTTAAAATATGGAATGTGCATCTGAAAATGGTGCCAACGACTTTCTGCTATTTATTTTGGAGCTATTAAGTTACACCACAATATTTTATACTGCCACAGTCCTTTAAACTATACTTCTTCTTGAAAGAGTTGCTAAGTAGCAATAAAGCACTTTACAAACGCTATGACTTTTTTTTTAATTTGTTGTTATCCCAAATTCTAATATTCATTGCGGCACTTTAACTTCGTACATAAATCGTTCAGACTAATGAGTCATAGAGAAATTTGCCCATGACTTTTCCTTTACAATGCTTGCTGCCTTTCCATTGCTTTTTTGGCCCTGCATTAGAAGCCGGTGATTTATTAATGCCAGGAAAATTGAACAAAGCAGTCTTCCTGCACTGTGGTATCCAGCCTTCCACAGTGTGAATTAGAACATTATCAAATGTGTTTGACTCGGTAACACTTAATCACAAAAAGCCATAATGTGACCACAAAGCAGCTAAAACAAAGATTTAACATTTCTAAATATTAAACTTGCTAAGTAAATACTCAGCAGACTTCAACAAAGTTAGCACAAACAATTACAGTCATCAAGCTATAAATATACACTAAATACTTACCAACATAGTCCCTACTGCTTTCTTAAGAAGTTTAGAATCTTTCAAGGCAAATCGGGGCTTTTTAAAAAACTCAAATAGGAAGTTGAGTTTCACTTCAGAGAGAATCACTCCTAGTGAGAACTGACGGCCACAGATCCATTCCTGACTATCTCCATTAATTATTTAATGAGTCACGTGACCTTAAAGATTAAAATTTCAATATCTACACAAGAAAAGACGCAACACCTTTATCTACTAGTGCAGGGTTTCTGTTTTGCTTATTTAGGTCCCATAATCTCTGTTGGTTTTGACAGCTTTTCAGTTTCTTGGGAGATCATTTGAACATTAATAACATGTGCTTGTCTGCTATTGTGAGATCAGGCGTTCTATAGACCTTAGCTTTAAATTAGCCATTTGATTCCGGATTTTTATTGTCTACAGCAGACTGTGTTAACATGCATAATTATAGTCCATCCCTCTTCTAACAGTTATTACACATGATAATATGATGACAATACTGATACCAAATATATTTGCCCTTATGATGCCTTTAAAACTGACAAAGAATTGGCTCACCACAGTTTATCAATATTCATGTGGTATAGGAGGTCTGGGAAGAATTCTTTTGCTCTGCCATTTGCACATCTCGTGGGAAAGTATAATAAAGAGTTAAAAGAGAGATTTCCTTTCTGTACTTAGAAAATACACAGTTAGTGGGCTAAATGAATGCCTGGCATAATTCATTTGACTTCAGAGATATTAACCCAGGCGTTCATTTGAACCAGTGGGCCTCATTCAGGTCTCGTTTACATTAGTGACAATAGTGAACTCAATGGAACTACATTGGTGTAAAGTAGTATATACTATGTCAGAATCAGTCCCAGTGTGTCTACAATGGAGTGAATGTAACACCTTCTAGTGCAGTAACTGGGGTTAAAAGAAAAATAAGACTCAAGCTCTTAATACTTTGTGTTCTATTAATGATATACGTACCGAATATCATATTTCTCACACAACAGCAACACATCTGAAAGGATACATATAATTGTAGATGTATTGGAGTACTGTTTTCAACAATCTCACAAATTCCGCAATAGGGTGGAGAATGAATACAAAAGAGAAATCCGGGTATATGTGCTTCAAAAAAATCACAGAAAGAACCCCCAATCTTTTTGTTTATTACTCTTCAAGTCGATTCATGTCATGGCTGTCATGGAATGATATCATAGAGTGTCCTAAAGTAGAGGTGCTAACGCAGCGATGCTGCCAAGCTTTCCTAGCGCCAGTAGTCTGTTGGTTTCAGTGGGTCTACTGGAATGAGTAAGCGCTGTTAGCGTGACTCGTGAGTAAGGGAATGCAGGATCGGGCCCATGATCAGACTTCAGGGTTGGGATGGAGGCTCGGGCTAGGGAGGGGAGAAGAAAGATGGAGTCTCCTGACAAGTTTGTCAAGACCTCCACCTTCCTTCCTCTCCCACCCATCCCCCACCCATTTACAAAACCCAAGAAGCAGTCCATAGGGCGCAGAGTATACCAAAAAATGTCAGAGCCCTGGCTAAACATTCAATGGAGAATGGTTATAGTTATTAAATACTGCGCGCTGCTTGTCACAGATGAGTTCCTCTTGTAATAAAACACCAGGTATATTAGAGATTGCAGTAGAAACTGGAAGGGAGACCTTGAAAAACTACCATTTTTCTTGGTGGGAAGGGGCGGGGGTTAACGGCTTGGCTCTAACTGTGACAATTAAAGTGACTCAGACCTGATTTTGTCTTTATTTGAAATATTGACAAACTTCCACCTTAAGCATTTTGTGCCGCTTTCCTTTGTGGCGAGAGCAGATAAATACGTGTGTGAGAGAGAGAGAGACAGCCAGCCAAAGAGAGACATTTAGGTCCAAGATCTGGATTTAAAAGGATACTGTCTTTAAAGGTCAAGGGTTTGAAGGGTCAGTCTGCTTCTCTAAAAAAACAATTAATGGGATAGAAAATTTGTCCTTTCAGTGAACTCTTCTGGTTGCCCTAGCAAAGGCTGGACAATGCCAGAGTTTAAAGTCTGCGATTTAATTTTCTAAGTGATTGTAACACTGATTATATCACACGAGAAGCATAGTAACACTCACATATCAAACACTATGCAGCTTTAAAAAGGGGGTGGGGAACAAATGAAAATTTACCTTAAATGATGATAATCTGCCATGTGATATTTTGCAGTCCGGGGCTGATTCTCCACCAAGACAGTATACATTTTTTTAGCAGACAGCCAAGATGCTGTGTCTTTACACATGACCACATTTTTTTTTCCAGGAAAATCCTTTGCGTCTTCACAGACTTTTTCCAAGAGAATGCCTTTCAGAACGGCTGTTGAATTACAAAGAAGTATTTATTGTAGGAGGTGATTAATGATACTCAGTAAAATTGCTATTTTCAGCGCGTGTTTTCATTTAGTTTTACGAAGGGAAAATGGGTTTATAGGCATAGTCTTCAGTAATAAATTATTCTCAATTAAAATGTTTGATTTGGGATTTTGATCATTTCTGCTAATTTGGTTTTAAAATAAATTGGGGGGAAATGTTCCACACAATAAACAAAACAAAGAGCTGTACGTTGCAGAGAGTGAGAGATACCAGCAGTTACCCCACCTTCAGATATATTCAGTTTCTTTTATATTGGGGCAGCTAACATGGAAAACGTTTTAGGATTTAGTAAACAGCAGCATGGTAACGGAAACATACTTTTCAGGGTGGTTAGTTGTTCAATGTGAAGACAACACTGTTTGCTAAACGTATTTACAACTGCCATAGCTTTGATGCTGAATATACTCTTCCAGTGACATGTTAAATTTTTCATTGAAATGGTATGTGTTCCTGGGACAGGCAGTGATGCTCACAATATCGTTGTGCCAATGTGCTTTCTTACTGAGTGAATTGTGATATATTTAAAAAAAGAAACTAAATCGTGCTCGCCTTACTCACGTGAGAAGACTCGTCGACTCCAGTTTAGTACCTGGATATACTTTCGTGAGTATGGCGAATAAAATGTGGCCTTTCATCTTTTTCTGGCAGAAAAACAGTGACAGAGTTTCCGCCTACAAGTTCTTCTGCTCAGTTAATACGTTTCAATGTCAATGATACTTTCGAGAAAGTGATATGAAAATCCTTATAAATTGTATACATTTTATTGTAATAATTCCACCTTTGGTATATTTCTCAACATCCTTGACAATTAGAAGGTTACTATGAGTTTGAAACACCTGAATACTGTTTTCCAGAATCATTCTGAACACATTTACCAGATTAAACCTCTGGGTTGTACCAGATTTCATTTAATTATTAAGGCTTTCTGTTTACACCCAAACACTTTTCAAAATAGATGCCTTTGAAATAAAGAAACTTTTATCACCCATACATCCCCTTAATTCTTCATAGTGAATTGACAAGTCACAATAAATACCAAGTGAACGAATAAATAATGACTGGCCAGATATTTTTAAAGTGTATCATGGTTAGCTGTCTTAGTTCTACTAAAGTAAATTAGTTCATTTCAGTTCATTGACTCAGTGTGAAAGCTCTATTTCTCTGTGCATAGGGTGGGAATAGCCATATACATGTAAATGAATAGACAGACTGAACCTCTGGCAAGGTTGCTACAGGCCACAAGTCATCTAGGCAATAAATAATACATATACTTGTTCAAGCAGGCTCTATTTTTTGTGAAGGCAGGCAACTAAAATGAGCATCTCTTTAACTAAATTTGAAAGCAAATTATCAGCAAAGCATAATGTTTAGGAAACAGCATTACATGAACTTGTGTTTGAAGCCTTTAATTTTTTTTTTTTGTACAGAGTATTCTTTATTACCAGTATTGGCAATATATACATCACACCAAAATTCACAAATTGTACACAGACCGAAACAGTTAGACGTGCCAGATATGAAGACAGCAACAGCCTTTAATATTTTTAAATAAATGCAATAGGAGACATGGGGAAAACGATTATATCACAACTACCGCAGTGGCTACGCTTAAAAACAATTAAATAACTCTTGTTACATTAAACATTGCCTGTCAGACTGTAATGGGACAGTTTTCATAAAATCTCCATGACATAAAATTTGGTTTCTTCTGTCTGCATATACTGGAGAATCCACGAACATTGCACGAAACAACACAACTCAAGTCAATGTCTTACACAAGTGTTTCAAGAATTATTATTTTAACTGTATTTTATTTTTAAAGTGTTATGTACAAAAGAGTCCTTCTTGGGTACAGAATTCATCCATTACAGCATCCAGCGCTCTGTGACACGGAAGGTACAGCGTATTTTCATAAATACGAAAGAATGATGGGAATGGAACCATTATGTCTGTACAGTGTAGACAATTTGTCCATGTTTTGGTTTCAACATGTACCCTGTACAGGGCACATTTCTTCTGATTCTGTATACAGTTGTTTTGGTCCAAATGGTCAACAACAAAAATAGGCAACTGAAAAAAACAAATATAAAAATCATTATAGGGCTGATGAGTTGGGTGTTGACCCATCGAGTTGATGATGGTGGCCCTGTGTCTGTGCTTTGGCTTGCTGACTAGCAGTAGATGGATTTGAGGAGCGCATCTTAGTGTTAGGCAGTTTGTGATCTTTCTTCCATTTCATCCTCCTGTTCTGAAACCAAATCTTGACCTGGCGCTCCGAGAGACAAAGTGTATGTGCTATCTCAATGCGTCGCCTCCTGGTCAGGTAACGGTTAAAATGGAACTCCTTCTCCAGCTCTAAGACTTGTTGTCTGGTGTAGGCAGTTCGAGACCTCTTGGGTTCCCCTCCAGTGTAATTGGGATTGACTGAACACACACACACACACAAAAAGCAATTGAACATAATCATTATATAATAACTTGACACTAGGTTCAAATCAGAGACATAACTGCAAGAAAATGTTTCACAGGCTATTGACAATAGGAAACAATTGAAGAGCAATAAAAAATGGTGATGGGCATTTGGGTGGAAGAAAAGCTTCAAAGACACATGGCCCAGAGCCACTGGCAGGGCAATTAAATTTATGGGGGCTATAATTACTGCCCTAACGGTTTGGCGTCTCGTAAATCTCTCGATAAAGGACCCCGGATACAAAAGGTTTCTCACGTTTGTATTAGGAAACGCGCACACATAAAAACCCAACCCAACCCTGCAGCACTTTTCAGCGTCCTCTCCTCCTCCTCCTCCTCTTCCTCCTCCCCAGGCAGTCCCACTCACCAGTGCTCACATGGATCTTCTTCATCCAGGGGTAGACCACGGGCTCTTTGCCTTTGAGGCCAGGCAGGCTCTTGTCAGGCAGGAGGGGGCATCCTGGGCTGGCCCCGGCCCCAGCCCCTGCGGCGGGGGCTGCTTCGCAGTGTCGCTGGTGCTGCAGGACGCGGCTTTGGAGCAGGGGCTGGGACTGGACATGGTGCCCCTTCGGTGGAGGAGGCGGTGGAGGAGAGGCACCCGGGGGTGGCTGCTCCTGGCCCGGGGTGGCGCTGGTGCTGCTGTAGCTGTAGGGCGCCTCGGAGTAGCCGGGTGGCTGCGCGGGGTAGAGCGCCTCGGGAGGAGGAGGAGGAGGTGGCGGTGGCGGTGGTGGTGGCTGGTATCCAGGGTCTCTGCTGGGCCGCTGGTAGTAGTCGGGGAGAGACTGGCCCGGGTGCGCTGGGTGCTGATGCAGGTGCGGCTGGTGGTGGTGGTGGTGGTAGGTGCTGCTGTTGCTGCTGGCGCTGCTGTGCTGCGAATACTCCTCGCAGGGCGGGAATTTGGGCTCGATGTAGTTGGAGTTTATCAAAAACGAACTCATGGTCATTAATTTGTTGAAGTGCAAAAATACTAATTTTTCTCGCGTTGTCGTTTTTCTGGGCTCGGCGAGGCCCCTCCCCCTTCTCCCCCCCTCCCCCGCCCTTCCTCCCTCCCTCCCCCTCCTCCTCTCGCCGCTGTCAAGTGCCGGCTGCCAAAGTTTGGGCCTCCCCCCCCCAACCCAAGCGCATAACACACACACACACACACACACATCACCACCTGACCGGCAGGGCCAATTGCTGCGCTGTTTGCGGACCCCGGATCAGGAAATGGAAAGATGGTGAGTGCCGGAGGAGCCCAGGGCAGCAGCAGGAGCAGCCCAAACCGTCTCTTACCGAGCTGGGGAGAGAGGTCCCAGCAATGGTAAAAAACTGCGCAGCCAGAAAGGGGAGCGAAATCCGAAGCGCATCCTAGTATCCATCGCACCAACCACCTTCCCTAAACCCCCAGTTCGACCAGATACCTCTCAAATGGGTGGCCTCGGACTCTTAAAACAGGAGAACAAAATTTTGCTCAAAGCCACGCGAGTCTGAGCTTTGCTACACTTTGATTGCTGCTTATTGTGGCCAATTATTTCCCCCTGTTCCCTGTGGAACTGAGAGAGACCTAAATTCGGCGCTACCAGTCGTAAATTCGTCCTGGGCACAAATATTTTATTTCTCTAGCATTTTTTTGGAGGGGGGGGGACGGAGAAGAAAGAGAGGGGAGGAAAGATGGGGGGCGGATCAGAAATCAACGAGAAACTAAAATGTAGCATACAGAAAAAGAAATTGACATTGCATAATACATTAAATACAATGACAATGGCATGCGTCTGCCGAAGTGGGTTTTCACCCACGAAAGCTTATGCTCCAATACATCTGTTAGTCTTTAAGGTGCCACAGGACTCTTTGTTGCTTTTTACAAATCCAGACTAACACGGCTACCCCTCTGATACAATGACAATAGTTTACAACTCTCCATTTCAAACTCACTTGATTTAGGATTGGGTATACATTATATATCAAGGTGGAAATGAGACTGCTAGATCCTGTGAAATAGAGGCCAACTAATTGCAAATCAGTATTTGTTTCTCTATGATCTGTCCCCAGAGCTTTTAAACGTTGTTATTGTATGATAATTTAGTTATTAGAGAATCTTTTATCCCTTTGTAGATTGCGAGCTGTGATAACATATAACTAGATTCAGAAGTTGATATGAAAGGGGGAAGGGCCAAATAGATTAATTAGCGGTGCTGTGTGCCATTAACGATATAGTTAGCAAAGAAAGAAAGAAAGAAAGAAAGAAAGAAAGAAAGAAAGAAAGAAAGAAAGAAAGAAAGAAAAGAAAATGTCCAATAAAATGAAAGGACTAACTGGGACTATTTCTCTCCGAGTGAGAGCATTTCCCAAACTACAAATTTACGTTTTGGGTTTTTGTGTGTTTTGGTTTGGGTTTGATTTGGTTTGGGGTTTTTATTATAGGAGAATTCACTGACATCTTTCAGAAAGTAGCCTACAATACTGAAATTAGAATGCAGAAAAAACTCTATGACTTCTAAATTGCTAAAAATTAGTCTGCTAACAATATTTGCAGCTCAGGAAGGAAAAGAGGCAACCGCCTGACCTTAGATAATTGGAATTTGATAGTTAAACTAATTACACCATTATTTTAAAATAATAGATTACTTATGAATTCCATCTGCTGTTGTATGTTTGGAGTTAATACTGAACTTTTTAGAATTTATTTTATATTTTTGTTGGTTGGCTAGTTTATAGAAAATCGAATACAAATATTTGCCACCCTCTTCAGGAGCATTGTTCCTGAATGGATAGTCTCACCTTCGAAAATAGGAAAATGCATCTAACTGAATATATAAAGCAAAAATGTTAATACAATTTAGATCTTTTTCCTCATAGTAGCTATCATTGCTTAAATTCAGATTGTTGTCTTTTGCAGTTGTATAGATAACATTATATAAATATAAAATTATAATTTAATATATGTTAGGTCTAACTAGATACTTACACACGTATACTGCATTAATTTATATTATAAACATATAACTACACATATATTGCAGACCATCTGGTGTATGTTTGAACATTTCCAACATACTGTGATACTTACATAAACAATTACTCATTTTTGCTAATATCTAATGTCTAATTTGCAAAGAGAGTTAAAGCACATAATATTTACCGTGATTAGACTTCAAAGTATACTTGTTCAACTCATTTCCTACTGAACGTCTATGCAACTCTTTAACTGGTGTGAAAGATATCTTTCTCTATTTACTTTGTATGTAGAAGAAAATATGGTTACACACGCCATAGGCGTCTAACATCCACAACTATTCAACACAACAAATTGTAGTATACACAGGTAGGACTAGATTGTTGGGGACTATTTTTCGGCGAAACCCAAATATCTATTAAAATAATAAAGCTAACGCTTACAGTGTGGCAAGAAGATGAGATTGCTAGAGACCCACAGTACGTTGTTTTCGGCGCACAGCTGTACATTCATACACAGATACATGCATACAAATATACGTAGGCGCGCATAATTGCATTAAATTGGGTTACCCTAAATATTATCCTCCTAATATAAGGGAGCTCCTTAGTTATGATGGCCAGAATACTCTAGTAACTACCATACTTCAAAACCTCAGTAAAATACAACGAAAGCTGGTACCTTATTTTGTATGCTGAGTGTTGTATTCGGAGAGCTTCCCAGGTTCTGATTAATAATATTTACCGTGATTAGACTTCAAAGTATACTTGTTCAACTGTACTTCTTTCTACTGTGTAGCTGCGTTTCTCAGTGAAACAGAAAATAATACAATTTTGCATACGATTGTAAATCTACAAGGTGACCTCAGCTGCTCAGATGAAGCATGTTTTTCCTGTGGTTCTAGCAGCCTGTGAAGATGTGCTTATGCAGGATCTCCAAAGGCCTGTTCCTTGTCTTTGTGGTTTTGTTATCATAAACAAGAACCCAGCCAAGACCACCAAGTGTTATCTTACACACGGCCATTTCGACATTTTACTGCAAGATTTATGGATGTAATAAACAATCTCAGAACCATCCTCGGATATTTCCCGTTACCCAACTTGTAGCACCATCCCAGCTTTAAAAACAAACAAACAAACAAACAAACAAACAAACAAACAAACAAAAAAACTTTATTTTTTATTTAAGAAATAAGACCATATTTCACACGCTTAAACAATTAACATAGGACCCAAAGTTTACCAGCTGAATCTTGCGATAGACGAGATTGGGAATTCACTGAAACGAAGTTGATAGTGCGATATCTAATCTTCATGCACCAACAGGCTCCAATCTCATGCATACCCAAACAGTCTAAAAGAGTTCTTGTGAAACATACAAGCACATCTGCTGACTTCCATGCGTGCAGATAAAATAGTTTTACAACCAAAGAATTAAAAAATAATAATTCAATTACACTTTTTAACGTGTCCATGCACCAGAGAGGGTGGACAGAGAGAGACTCGCGAGCAGCCTGGTTTGAATCTGATTTGAACCATTTTGAATATATTTAGCCCCAGCTTTCCCTCTTGAATGCAACCCTGTCCCAAGTTTCAAAGTGACCGAAAAGTGACACCGTGTGCATTTTGTTTCTTATTAATCTTACACATTGACAGTCTTTGTTAAACAACAAGGCGTGCCCTTCACCAGCCGACATTTTCATATTTGTTAGACGCGGTGACCTGAAGTTCACCTCGGCCTTGGACTTAGTTTTTCTAAAAGGTCTATAACAGTGTCTTTTAGATAGCAGGGTGCTTTGCTCAGGTCACTACTTCTAAGGGAAAATTAAGAAAAAATAGCGGGAAAATGTAAACGTTATGGAATGTATCAACTGTATCTCTCCTTTCTTCTTTGGGAATCATAAAAGCCCGCAAGACAGTTACTCAGTTTAACATTTGTTAACTTTGAAACTAACATGTGAAACGGTTGCTTTAAATTGTCAAGATTGGGGCAATGGTTGAATTTTGGCCCCCAAGTTCATTATTTTATAAAGCGATTACTTCACTGGCACTGTATATGTTCTAACAACTGGATGTTTGGAGTGATTTGCTTGCTCTATACCGGCATGGTTAAATAAACACACACAAAATGTGATTTGTGTTAGAATTTTAAATGAATGGTCTTTTGACCAGACACTCTACACCAGTGTGTGCTGCATTCAAAGAATGAACGTACAAAGGCAAGGACTCGTTCATCTCAAATTAATAACTGCTCTGTTTCCCTTTTTAAAAAGGAATCATTTAAACAATAATTGAGATAAGTCAATATTTATTGAAGTTGCAGTTGAACTCTGAAAATATTCTCATTGATATTTTTATTTTAAACTATGTTGAATACATGGATTTGCATCAAAATAATTGTTCTGGTAAGTAAGAAACTAGATTTCAGTTCCCTCATTTTGTGTAATTTAGTTATACTAACAGCTTTTCGGTCAGGGAGTATCAAAGACTTGTTATTCTCGGAAACAATCTGCCTAGCACTCGTTAACAATATATATAAATGGTTATATATTTCAGGTTACTACCAAGACTTTCCTTTTCTCAACAAACAAATGATCTAACAGTATAAAGTAATCTATAATATCTCAAGTGGGGGAAACGTTCTTTTTAACCCAAAATATGCAATCTGACTATCTTATTACAAGTTGGCAACAACAGTATTTGATGAACAATGTATACACGGTGTGTAATGTTATTTATATATTTCCACACCGCTGTCATATACAAGCGATGTAGGCATAATCTCCAATAATATCTCTCAATGATTTGAAATCAAACAGCTCACAATTTATTTTCAACAACTTCTGCTTTCTGCAATGATCCACCAGTATCACTGACAAATAATTAATTTGTATCCAAATAACTAGGAATATCGTATAATCCATGCCTGTTTGTTCTTAATTCAGCTAAACATGGATATAGATGAGGTACTTTTTCCCAACTGAATTCCTCATTATAACCCCCCCTCCCCCCATTCCCC